GTACACCTCTTTTCCTGGGCCTTCAAATGTATTCCATGAACAATTTTGGCCCCTATTGCGATATAGTTGAGAACCACTGGACTATAGAATTGAAGTGACTGTTTTTCCATGAAGGAACGAGGTTTATCATTTGCCTTTCATGGTTCGAATACGTCACAACTCAGTAGATAATAAATCATTATTTTTATGAATGTTAGTTTGCACGAAATATGTAAGCGGGCATGATTATGATTACCGGGATAAATTGAAAAATTAATGATAAGTATTTCAATGGCAGATTCAGAGGGCCCAGCCGGCCCACCCTCCCTTATTTTTTCAAAATTTAAAAGTGGAGAAAAAAGAAAATTATATTAAAATTAAGTCTGAGCAGGGAACAGTTAAATTAGGCCTACTAATTTAACTGTTCCATGGTCTGAGAGTGCCATTTCAGGCCAACTAGAGGTGCCATAATCATAAATTTTCTTACCTCAGCCCCAACCATTGGGGGGCTGAGGTGGTCTACACTCTATCTGTAAAAGTCCCTCCCTGACCACCCACCCCCCCCCCCCCCCCTAAAATTTCGAATTTCTGGATTCGCCACTGTATTTTGAAAGTGTAGTATGGCTAAAATCTGGGGCTCTGCCCCCCCCCCTCCACCCCTTTGGCTACGCCATTGCATCTGACACTGTATTTTGAAAATGTAGTGTGGAAATAAAATTTAATTGCATTCCTTAAAATCAATTACATACGACTTATAAAAGGCGATAGACGCCAGAGGATCCGGGGGCGACCTGGGGGCCACCTGGACCCCCACCGGGGGCCCTAGATCCCCCGCGCCCTCCCCTAGATACGCCACTGTCGAGCTGACCGCAAAGAAATTACTTGAAGTAAGCCTGACACAAAACATTGTTTTTTACATATTTTTACTCACTAGGCCATATTTGCTCATTTAAAAAAAAACAAAACTGAATACATTCCACTAGGCCTATATGTGGTCTGTTTTGTAGAAATGAATCGAATAAAAAGAATTATTAACATTTCCACTACCATCAGGCAGACTTGTGATGTAATATCCTAAAATATAGTACCTTTGTTTGATTGCACTGCCTTTTGTGCTTTAAAAATACTGCCTATAGTAAATTGTGGCAAAATTATAATACGCATGATCAACGTGACTACAACAGATAATGAATAATCACAACCAAACAATATACTTCGCAAGCGTTCTGTCCGCTCATTAACAGTGACCGTGCCTAGAAAGTGAGACGAAAACTAGGATTTATTCCGAAACTTACAGAGATGGAGTTATTGTTGATATATCTCATTGTAACGATTTTAGTGATTCATTCTGGAAATGGTAATGATGCTTTTAGATAATATATGTAGGCCTACAAAAATTAGACCTTCCTAGAAACCCGGAAATTTTGCCGTAGGAATTTAAAATGTTGCTCAGGACCAAGGGGGCGGTGTGGGGTGGGGGTGTCCGGGACCCATTTTACCCACGAAAAGTAAGGGGAGGTGATGACGCTTGAACAACCGTGAAGAAAAGTTAAATCCGTTGGAACATTTTTGTTCCAACGGAAAGTGAAGAAATTTATCGTTGATAGTTCTAATGTAACCGACTCGAATTCCACATCCTCCTTATCCCCAATCAGGTAAGTGTGGTAACTGTAAGAATATGATATGGCTACTGATTTTTCAAAGGTTTTGTAATTAGAAGAAAAAAAAATCTCCGACAACTAGGCCATATATTGTGGGATCATCAGGGGTGGCTCCAGGAAAATTTATGATTATAGTACTACCTATAGAGATGGCCGAAAATGGAGCTCTCAGACTTAAATGTTATTATAAATTACTGTATGTTTTTTTTTCTCTATATTCTTTATAAATTTCCTGGTGGCTCCAGGATTTGCCCGAAGAGGATCCTGGTAAATAGACGACATCGCGAGTAGAACGACGGGGGCATGTTCGGGGATCGTTCAAAATCTTTTGAATATGGCCTAGGGGGCTAAGTCCCGGGGACACCATGACAATTTAGGTGTTTACTAAAATCTCATTTACTTTTTGTCAAAGAATGCATATACCATTATGATTTTTTGTCGGAGAAACATGCATTGAGCAGAATCTCTCGTTTTCGGGAAATGTCAGCTTTTGACTTTTTCGTCCTGAAAATTAATACGAATAAAGAATTTTTCTCGACAAATTTACTTTAATTTTAATTTACGTTATAATATAGGGCCTATCGTACGGGCCTCTGATGTCTAAATGATGGTATGACGCTCCCTATAAGCCCCGATATTCAACCCCCGGCCCGCGGGCCAAATTCAGCCCGCCAAGGATTTTGATCCGGCCCGCGAAACATTGCTAAAATTAAATCATTTTCCGGCCGATTTTTAGAAAAAGTTTTTGTTGTATAGAGCAACACCACATAGGCACCCCTACTCTAGCAATGTTTACAAGAGTGTGGCTTTTTCTGAGTGTAACTCACTGTGTCTGTGGTTTAGGGTACTGGTATGGGGCAGGGACTACTGGGCAGGGACATGGATTAAGTGGGATACTGATATGATGAGATTTCTAACCATTTGCGGCACCAGTAGGCTCGGGGCATGTTATTCTGTTGAAAACTTTGTTTTGAAAACTTACTTTTGAGTCTGAAAGTGCAATTTCCAGAAATGTAGAGGTATCTAGATGCTAGAAATGTGCTCACCTAAACCCCAACCACTGGTGAGTGGATATTTTTGTGGTAGGAACATTTCTAGTGGCAGGGTAGGAGAACCTAGAGTGCATTTTTTTTTCTTCTTTTATTCTTTCAAAATTCAAAAAGAAAGAAAAGAGAAGCAAAGAAAATTAAATTCAAATATAAGTCTGAGAGTGACATTTCCGACCATCTAGTGGTGCCATAATCATACATTTTCTTGGTATTTTCCACTATCTGTGGAAGTTGTTCCCTGACCCCCTTCTATTTCGAATTCACCGCTATAAAAAAATGTAAGTACACAATTTATGTCGGCCCGCCGCTGGTCTCAACAAGTCGGGACTGGCCCCCAGCTCAAAAAGGTTGGATACACCAGGGCTATAAGTATACTTTAAAAATAATCGCCTTACTATGTGTATTACGGAGCTAAGTCTCTCGCTCTTTATACAACTTAAAGGCTCACACATAGTGGAGTGATTACAGTTAAGTTCCGTAATAACCTATAGGTAGTAGCGGCTGGTAAGTCATTGGAAATAATAATATTCAAATCAAGTTTTGCTGCATAAGACCACTACAGGTCCGTACGCAGGGCGTGTGCGACGGGTGCGTACGCACCACAACTCCTCCCTTACCCCCCTCAAAATAAAAAATAAGTAAATACAGTTATCAAAGTTCAAGACACACTCTCGCACGTTCCAGATCTATCCACCAAACTCCTTGATAAATCAGAGCAGTTTCCAACTAGGACTGCCTCTAATTTGTAGTAAGCAAGAACTTTTAACTGTATTTATAAGCTTTTTCAGGAATTTGAGTGTTTTTCCCGCCGCTTGCGTGTCCATAACTAGCCACGCAAATCATTTTTCTCTTTTATAGGTTTCATTAGAATTACCTTTTATTCTCGTTTAAGCCTGCGGGTGGCATTCCGGCCATTTAGAGGTGCCATAACCATAAATTTTCTTAGCCCCAACCATTTGTAGGGCTGAGGTGTTAGACCCCCAGTGGTGGATTCAAGGGGGTGGGGGAAAGCCGACCTGGGCCCCCATAATTTTTAAAAATTTATGAAGAAAATTGAGAAAAAAAAAAATACAGCGGGGGGGGGGGGGGCAAAGAAGAAAAGCAAACCCCTCTAAAAATTACTCGCCCTCACCCTAGTCGTCTCCCAAAAATCATGGTCAAGTAGTTAAAAATCACCTAAAATCACCTCATTTTGCGAATTAGCGCCCCACAACTGATCATCGAGGCCCCCCACCCCCTAGATACGCTAATGAGTGGCTGGAAGAAAAAGCTATAGACCCGGCCAGCGTGACCACTGCTTGGGTATTTACCCAAGATCTTGGGTATTTTGAGTCAGTCTTGGGTTCTTGGGTATTCCGTTCAAATCCTTGGGTATTTTATTTTTACTAAGAAAATTAAATATTTTTGTCATAGAGGAAGAATTAAGAAGTAACAAAGTATATTTCAGTCCATTCAAGTAAGCAAAACTCAACGAATTGTACATAACCTGTCTCTTATACACATCTAGATGTGTATAAGAGACAGCAATAACATTGATAGTAATAATAATAAATAATAATAATAATAATAATAATAATAATAATAATAAAAATATTATTATTATTATTATTAATAATAAACACAATAAAAAACATAAAAAAAAGATACAACAAA